AACCTGAAACCCATTTGACTATTCTTTTTTCTAAAAAGAATAAATTCAGTGGGTTTAGTTACTGTTATAAATGAAGGCCCAGTGGGGGGATTCTCAACTTTTATGTCCAAAAATTGAGAACCGATGCACTAAGCCCAATGAAAAGGAAAATTGCTGGGCTTATTTTATTTAGTTTGTGTAAGCTGTCCGTAAGGTCACAAATTAAAAGTGTATTCTATTTATTTTTATCATAAATTTGAATTAAAAAATAAAAATTAATATATAAATTATCAATTATCTAATTAAATTTATCCTTTTGATACTAACACTAAAATTAATATCAATTTGTATAATTTTTTTTATATATATTTATAATAAAAAAACTTTTGTGTTGTGCCCAAATCCACACATGTTAGGAATTTTCTTTTTTTCTTTTTTTTTTTTGTTTATTTTTGGGCTTCATTGCAATTTCCTTTTCAGCGCTGACATTTTGCATTTGGGCCTTTCCCACCTCAAATTTAATGCCTTGGGCCCGTTCTTATTTTTAAATTTCAAATTTTAAAATGCTTTAAAAACATCTAAACTTCGTTTTATATATATATTTTTTCAAATTCATGTCATATTTTCCAGGTTACATGTGCATTTTGTTTTTGGCCTTACATAAATGGTTGTTCAACAGATTTTTGCTAATTAATCTTTGATTAAGAAAATTGTATAAGAAAAATTAATGTTGGAATCCCTCTCTAGAAACTACAATAGAATCTTCATTAGTAGATTTTGTTAAAAATATAATTTGAGGACCTAACTTTAAAAGATTTAAAAGTTTAACGGTTCAATGATTTTCTTTATTTCTTGTGACAGATAACAAGCTGCCGTGGATAATTACTTATAAACAACAAATTAACGGACTAGACTAATTTTTTACCGATTTGAAAGATTATAGATTGAAATGGGATAAATTAAAGTTACTAGCCAAAATTGATAAAAACATTGAAGTTACTAGATGATTCATTAAATTTATCCCTTTAAAAACCATATCTACTCCTTGATCAGAAAAAAGGGAAAAAAAAAAAAACACAAATCAACTCCTCCGCTCTCTAAAATTTGGGTAATGCAATGCCCTATGAACCTATCCGTACCCAAGTTGATTGGTCCCATAGTTTTTTATTTTTTATTTTTAAGTGAAACATTTTTAATTTTAATTTTTGG